CGTCTAGCTGTGAAATACAATTTCAGGTAAATGTATATCAATCTGCGTTCCACATGTCTAAGCTCTTACTCCTTGCAAAGATTATTACAGATCTTCTAGAAGCTTTGAAACAACCTATCAGCAGTGGTTCCTCTTGCCGTACCTAAATGTCTCTATTTTCAAGCGTAACGTTAATAAACACTACATGCTTTCTTCAACCCATTCTTCCTGTAACTTTCGCTGATCACCAACGTGCCTGCACATATGGGAACCTTCCCTTAGTCATACGAAAAAAAAACATAAATTATTATAAATCTTCTCGAAACCGTGAAAAACTTTTCGATATAGCCCGCTACTCGCAACGTAGGTGAAGATGTGTGCTTCACGATTCATAGTCAGTGAAAGATCAGCAAGAGTTGCCGAATAGGTAAGAATCACGACTACTAAACACAGTGTTTGCTGCTTCAAATCGCTACGCAGTAGTGTTTACTCTGGCCGTAGCTACAGTGAGAGCTCAGTCGGTAAAGGCATTATGCCTTACCTATTTTAGGTCTTTCCTTCTTTCTCTTCACTTCTTAACAGGTTAAAATCTCAGTTTACTTTGGCTGTAGCAAGCGCGCAGTCGGTATAGGCACAGTACCTGTCGACTTTAAGTAACTCGTTCTTGTTTTCCACTTCTTTCTAACCCCTTCGTCCCCTTTTACTATACATATATAGGCAACATCTCTTAGCTGATCAAAAATCAAATTGTTAAGTAAAGGCGGATTCTCACGCATCAAGATACGGTCATTCCGTCCTTATGTGAAAAATTTCAGTGTTGATTATGGATCATTATGAATCATCTATCAAGTCATGCTTCTTCTGAAAAGCCCAGTCGAATGCAAAACTTTATGCCGGGGCAGTATTCCCGTATACCTATTGGGCGGTACATTCTTTGTAGTGACAATTAAGTTCCGATTTTCAGAACGCAATTCCGATTTTCAGAAAGTAGTCCCGCTTTTCAGAACGCAGTCCTTCAATTTACTTTTTTGGAGAAAAGTTGAGAATTTTTACATTTCGTACCTGCTGAGTATCATCTGCATACAAGTAGTAGTAAAAATAAGGTAAAAATAAGGAACGCTTGCAGGGGAAGAAATTTTGTTAGTAATCCTTTCATCGGTAATGGCCAACCCTATTGTAAAAATTACGTGTTGTTATCCTTTCGTCTATTTATATGTATACAATAATATAAATGTAGAATTTTTTTTTTTTTGTAATTGTCGTAGATGAATTTGATAAAAATCAAAAAAGAAACAAAAGGAATAGTAATACGTATTACAGGATTTACGATATTGAGTTAGATGCTTTCATTTAAATGCCAATGTTTGCGGTTAATTTGTCAATTGCTTTAATGCCCCAGGAAAAATTCTTCTGTAAAATGATTTTTGTTCAATTTATGTAAAATAATTTAAATTCATTTCATATTTTAGCAAAAAATTTATTTATTTATTTGTTTTTGTACACATGCTGATATGAACATATAAATAAATGTAACGCCGTAAAATAGATTCTTGTGCATTTTCTGCTTGATTGTTTAAACGAATAAATTAATAAATAATTGAATGAGAAAATTACTGTAACTGAATATGCTAGACATGGTTAACATTCTCAGGAGTGGCTTTGAGACTTTGAAAAGTACACACATATGGGAATTTTACAACTTTGTTTGTTACAATTATGTGCTGAGCGATTAGCGCTGCGTGTGTAAAGCAGACAGGAGATTTGAATGGACAGGAGAATGCATACCGCCTTCGTCTGGCATCGATCGAGAGAGCAATGATCGACAATGACACACTTTGCCAAGAGACATATGTAGCGTGTTGTTATGGTAGACGTAACTCAAGGGCAATTCTCCTAAACATTAGTTTATACCGTCGTCGTCTGGTGTCGGTGGATACGTCTATGATTCACATTGAATTATCACGTTAAGGGGCGAACGCGCCGAGAGAAAAAATATGAAAAAGTTGCTTAGGCACTCTAGGGTTTCTCTGAATTTATTATAAAGATAACAGCTATGTGAGAAGATTCTAACTAACTAAATTGTAAGCCTGTTATAGGTGATCGAGGTAGATAGTTATTATTAGTAATTCAGTTTTCATCTGATGACATTGCAATATTACTCTTCGGTACTCTACTGATTACATGAGACTTGATTTGAAGGTAAAAGTTAATTTTCGCTAGCTTCGGTGGTATTCAGAACTGTGAAGACTAACGAAAGTTATAGATTAACCTTTTCGTGAGTATTTTCCAATGGTTTGCTCTTTTTTGATAAATTTATTTAGATTAGTAATATTAACGATTATTTTTAGTGAAAATAACAACACTTGACAAACTCTAGAATATATTCGCAACAACTCATATTATGATAGTGTATTTCATCCTTTTTTTCTCTTATTATATTCATTTTACAATTCAATCATTTAATTACTCGGTCATGAATTATTCGAAGAAGTATGAAGAAGTAAGCCAGAGCTTCTTACGACTACATAACTGCGCGAATGACAGGAGATGACACTATCTTTTTTCTCTTCTACGAATTTTACTAAATGTCATACGTCAAAGATTGTAGTAGGCTACGGCCCACCATTAATTATCATAAACCATCCTGCAGTTATTCACATAACGTAGCGCGTTGTAGGGGAAATACTTGTAAGGTCATTGGTTTACTATTTTCAACAACGTCCGTGCTTGGCATATTTATTAGCATATCTCAACAACTTGCGACCTGTTCATTGAATGCAAGACAGCAAAATGGACGTAGGGACAAACAAGCTTAAATTTGAAAGCAATTTTGAAACGATCTTTGTAAGGAAAGGTTGGTCTGTCTTAATCTCTCCTGCGAGTGGTCGAGTAAGTGGATCGATCCAAACCATTTTTTTTTTTATTATGGTGGAAGCTGGATAATAAAAGACTCTTTGACAAGTATATTAAGTTTGGTAAGTTTCGGCCACATTGACGTATGAGTATCCTCGAAAAAGGGGGCTTTCATGAAAACTGTGCATTTACATATGCATAATCATTTTTGGTCCATTGTTAAGAATATGAGCGAATGAGTGTATTAGCAAAGCGGGGTAGGGTGTTTAACGGTCGGCCTTATCCGACTATAATACTCTTGCTTGGTTTTTTGTTTGTTTACATATCCTAACGTAACCGTTAATTACCGTTAATTAAAATTTTGCTTACAATTATGGTCTAAAGGTGGTATTGCTATGCGGGTTTCTTTTGTTGTTGTTTATATGTGTGTATATAGGTTTTTCAATTTTTGTGAATGAGTCATGTCATTGCATGCATACTACATAAAATGGATTGCGTAAGAGTTTATTTATGTTTATCTTCGATTTCTTTACGCATATTTCCCTCAGTTCAGGAAAAATAACAGATTAACAGAACTTGAACCGGGAAAAATTCTGTTTCAATTCAATGTAATTCCTTTCTTGTTTGATTGTCCGTAAACTCTCGGCCCTCAGACAGTGCCTATAAAAAAACGAAAAGAAAAAAAAAAAAAAAACTTCTTTTTTTCCTTCACTAATTACGTAAAACATTTGAAAAGGGCAGCGAAAAAAATTGTTTTCTTTTTTCTTTTATCGGACAATTATAAATGAGTTTCTCAGTTAAAATAATATTCAAACAACAAGTGATCGAATGTTGTGTTTATACCGAATATTGAACATTGAATCAAGTATTGAACCATTGTGTGAACTATATGTAGAAACATTGGTAGGCAGATGTTGGTATCTATATATGAATGGTTGTGTGTATGTGTGTATGTGTATAAGTTCAAATATAAACCAAATGCACAAAATTGACATATAACCCAAAATTGATACGAAATGAAGCTGAAATTGCATACAATCGTACACACACATCTACAACATATAGAACAGAGAACGAGACCATATACACTCGTTTAGACAGATTAGGCTTCAGAAAACGACATACGCACTTCAAACTCTTGGCATTCGTTATGCATATCTCTATGTAAATACGTATGTTTAGGAATTTTAAATAGAAAATTTGTCGATTGGTGTTACGGTTTCTGTGTTATTATGTCCCCACCCCATCTATACTGTAGCTTCTGTTTCTGTTGTTTTTCGGCGCACAAACAAAAAAAAAAAAATGTTATTTAAAAGCCATTCCTATGCACATAGATATCTATATATATGTGTAAGATGCCAAAATCATGCAAAATTGTAACAAATATATATCAGCATAAATATGTATATAGGTATGTATACATAAATATATGTATGTAAAGAGATATATATGTATATATATAAATACACATGCATATGAATGGACATAAAGTGTATGAAGTACTCTCTTTTTATTTTGCTCTTCCTCTGTCATTTCATTGAAGAGCAGAAAAATTTGTATTGTATGTGTTATCGCATTTGGTCAAACACATAAAAGTGTTACGATTGTAAAATGTTTCCCTTACATACAATCCAGGCATATCAGTTATTCTTTTTTAAATGAGAAAACTTTTATATTTCATATCTTGTAAAGAATAAAATTTTTTCAATTCAAAACTTTACTCAGCGTTGATGCAAGAGTGTCCTTCAAGAAAGTTATTCCTATGAATTTATTGATAACATTTACAGACGGGAACGAACGGGCTGCCCTGCTACGGCGTCATATAGGCACATCGTCTGCTTCTTGTTTCTTCATGGCAAATCTGCCTACGTGCTGGAGGATGACTTACGCTCAACATATCCCTAGACTGACTGGACAGCAACCGACTCTGAAGATCGATCGAGGTCTGCCTAATGTGATCTGATATGTCAGTTCGACTCTTATTCTTAAGTTTAATCTTTTAATCACAACTTTATTATAAATCTAGGCTAGACGTAAAGAGTTTTGGACTAAAACCAGAAAAGAATTTTGGTCCCCATATTAAAATTATTTTCTTTTTTTTCATATTTTTAAAGTTTTAATGAGGTCTCCATTTTTTTTTTTTTTTTAGGAAAGTGTACGAACCGCTTTGAACTTAAGGTTTAAGCGGTAATAGGTTTCCCGACTCAGAATTGTGCGAAAAGTTTGCATTTTCCAAGGGATTTATCAAAACCTCTGCACAGAGTGTAGTAAACTGAGTGTTAAGTTAAGAGATTATGGAAGATGCTTTTCTTGTTTTTTTTATGCAGTGAGTGAGCCAAACAGGTAAGAGGTTCTAAAAACTAATGAAACTTAACCCTTCAAGGTGACATTGCATTCAAGCAACATATGTTTCGTGTACAGTTTCAATAGGATTTTTTGTTCGAAAAAATATTTGCAAATGATGTCTTCTTTGCCCTGATTCTCCTCTAATAATACGCAGTATTTGTAATTGGTGCAAATATTGGCCCAGTTGGGAGCTGGAACTCAAAGGGCTTAAGATAACTTTTGTTTATGTAGTTTATCATTAAAGACAAGTTTTCTTAAAAACCGTTATGGTATTTGCGTTGCTTACCTTTCATGGATGACTTCTGAAGACGGCAAATATCCTCTCATTTCTGTGTTTGGCTTGAAGTCTTACGTAGCTTTTCAATTAAAGTGCGCCTAATCTTGGTAGTTTCTTCTAACCTCTACACAGAGTAATTTTTTAAATTGTATATCTCTGAAAAAGCCTTTTGTACAAAAGCAAACTTCAAATATACCTCAACCAAATCAAACACGGAAGGGACAACGCTTTCTATATTTCGCTTTTGTCTCTCTTTTCAAAAGTTCAGAAAGATCTCTGTTAGTTGAAATGTTCTCGGCTATCACTGGAAAATCACACAGAATACATCCCTGTTTTCATGGCCTAAAATTCTCGATCTCTGTACATTGGTTGAATGCTTTATCCTAAAATTTTTATCTACGATTTCGATACTTTTTGGATGATTGCTTTTTCAATCCTGGGATCTCCTCTCCTCCCGTTCAAGATTAAGGGCAATTGATTCGTGTTGTTGTCCAGTTAAACAATTGATTTTTTGCTCTTAACGTCAATTAATTAAGGGAAAGTAGTAAGAAAAAATCGAACTTAAAAAGGAATCATCGATACATATGTGATGTGGTGAGTGTGTGTGTGTGTTGACAAGAGGGCGAATAAAGAAATGAGTGCGTAAATACACAAAAGTCCATCACACATTCAGTCGTCCATACCGTCAGGTAATGAAATACGAGAGCATGTTTGTGGGAATCATGTGCGACTGCATATGGGTTATGTGTAAAGGAAATGTGTTACAAGTACTCGTACCCTTAACCAATGTCATGCTGCATGTAAAACATGCATGTATGTGCGTCTGTGCTGACTATTGTAGATAAATGTATACACGATCATGAAGTTTGTATATATACATATGTATGCGTGGGTGTTTGGGTTTTTGTTTTTTTTCTTTGTTTTTTTTTTTTTTTTTGTTTTGAGTTTGTATTGCTGCTGTCGTCATGGTTTTTTCGTTTCTGTTTTGTGTTGTTATACTTTGTTGAACTATGCCGTGCGTCTGTTGCAGTTGTTGTGAGCGGAAACGGAAGTTACAGCCTCCTCAACGGATACGTATTGCAAGTTGACTTAATGTTCTTATGTGTTTTACCAATCGGTTCCTCTGACATACAGAAGCCGCCTGACCGGCCGTTCAATTGTCGTTTTGTTTATGCAAAATGAAAAATCAATCGCTTTGATTTATCAGAATATATGATAACGCACAGCTAGTCAATCTTATGTCATTCACTTATTTGTGTACTGTGTCGTCCCTAAATAGACACAGATTTTTGATAAACGTCGCCGTTACTACGCAATTTTGTCAGACTGCGTTATATGAATGAAGCCGATGCTTACTTATGTGATGCTAGTTTATGCCAAATTGAGTGATAATTAATTTTAGCTCTACTTACAATTGATTTATATGAACGTGTGCGTCTCTGTGTGTGTGTGTGCGTGTGTGTGTGTGTAATGGCGTTTATGTGCTGCGTGGTCATGTTAACATAACACCTCTTAATCAATAATTGTTCGGTTAAACGTTGGGGTCCACTTGACGTAATAATGTTTAGATGTTAGACATTTACAGACATGTTAGTATACTTTTAGGCTCTCGAGAATAATTCAAAGTATTTGCAATAATCTTAAGATCTACTAATAATTAGTGTGTCTATGTTAATTGGCAAGTAAATGTACTTATGTTTGTATGTGTATGTCTGTGTGTGTATATGTGCGCAAGTAGATACATTTATAAAGATTTCATGTGCAAATTTTAAATAACTTAAGTTCTTGAATAAAAAGACGGATAGAATATCATGAGTTTGCTGCCGCAAGAATATCGTCTGTGTTTTTTGCCACTTAGCCGCAGAGAAAAGTCGTCTCTCTATAAGAAATAATAAAGAGATAAAAAACGAAATACAAAAGCAAAACTATAACTATAAAATATAGTTCATCATACGACATGTCATCATTTTTCTGTAACAATACAAAGGTAACAATAACAAAAAACAATGACAACGACAACAACAACAACAATCATAACGCCACACATGGCATATTAATACATCACAAGACAACACATAACATTTATTTCAATTGTGCCTTTCTTTTCCCCTTTTTTTTTGTTTTTTTTGTTTTTATGAGTGGCTGTGTGGTCAAACGAATCATATTTTTTTCACACATATACACACTTGCATTCGCACATATGCATATATATAGATATATTTATATATATATATATATATATATATATATACATACATTTGTATATATTTTTATACGTAAATACCCATGCACATCAAGAGAGTGTAAATTTTTGCATTGAAGGAAAGTTGTTGCTCCAATATATTCATATACGTTTAACGCTTGCGGCTGTTTAAATGCATAACGTGCATAGCAAAACGGAAAAGTAAAATATTTGAAAATTGTTTTTATATATATGAAAATTTAATTTGTGGATTAAAATATTTTAAAGGATTAAATTTCCAAAAATCACTTCAATAATTCGCCGCAAGCGATATATATAAATATTTTGATATAATTTTGAAGTTAATTCGTAATACCCTCTGCGTAAAGCAATTTTTTCTGCATCGCATTTCAAAATCAATGCTCACGCCTAAATTAGAGGCACGGTTATTTGTTTTTTTTTTTTTTTGTTTTAATTGTTCAATAGCAGCTATATAAGAATATATATTAAATATAATATAAGTAAAGGGTTTAAGTTAACTTAATCTACACTTTAAAGTACTTAAATCAAAGTGTAAAGTGGCAAAAGCAAGACAAAGAGGAAATAACAGCGAAACGAACTTTTAACAACTTTCAATAACGTTATCGATTAAATAACATACGCTTCACAGATTCACTTTTATCCGAAATGGAGAACAAGTGGTAATTATCATTACAGTATTCACAGAGGATTCGTATAAGAGAATATATAGCAGTCTACACTTAACCCTACACCGCGATAGGTGCAAGCGAAAAAAGTGTACGGGACAGTACATTCAAAGCCATTTAATAGGAATAAAGGTTATATTCAGCCATTAACACACTTAGCCACGAAACTCAAAGCAAAGGCTAACGTTCTCTTCTCTATAAAGTTTGGGTTGATTAAAAGGACACCAATCCCATAAGAAGGAAGTGCTCGTTGCCTTACTTCCTTACCTTAAGCCAATGAAGGGCAAATAGGGGAAATTGTTTCTGAACAGATTCTATCAACTGCACATAACAGCTATAGCTTGATCATCATATAACTGAGGTATATATACTTGGTAATAGGCCGTAAGAATCACCAAATTCTTGAACTCACAATAGAAAATATACAGCCCGAAGCATAGATTCGGCTTTAATTGAATATTTATAAGAGAATTTATTTCTTCATCCTTGTTGGGGAATCATGGTGTAATGATAAAAACGATTGTTTTCCAAGAAATATGTTTTCTTGGAAAAAAAAAACGAGAGAAGAAAAGTTCGAGTGAGTAACTAACAGCGTCTATCGATACTAGGATTAGAGACCGTATTTAGTGGAACAACGTGGTTGTGCATTTTGAAATTGTAGATTTTGTGTGAAGCACTTAGTCGTAATTCAGTATTAAAGAAAGCCGGTGTACGGCATATGTATCTTTAACAAATGTCGGCGATATTGTCATAATGTCATATATGATAACTCGAATTTTGATGAACGTTACATTATATGAATTATTTTCGAGGAACTACTTGGGCTCTGGATTGTGTGGTTTAACAGGTTGCATAATTGCAATCTTCGCACTTGCCTGAAAGAATATTTCATTTACACTATCCTAACGAACGATTAACTTTTCCCTTTAGTGTCACATGCCCGCTGTGGTCAATATCAAAGCTCAATTTCGACACAACATTCAGCACAACATTTTACATATATTATAAGTCGTTAGTAGCCCGGGCAAAAGCATTGAAGTTGTGTTAATGTGAAAGAGTTACACAAAAGCAGCAATAAACGGCATTAAGGGAATCCGTTTATCATCAGCTTGAACAACGAGAGTAAACGCTGTAAGCAAACGTTCGTATTTTACGAAGGTTGATTTTATCCTAAAGAGTGCTAAAGAGACAGACAGCATGCGATGGACGAGAATGAGTCCCCCTCCAATTTAATGGAAGAAGTAACAATTCGATACGATTGTTAAAAACTACTACGAGAGGTAAAAAACAACTACAAGAGAGAATATGGAGGCATGGGAAAGTATGAGTTTATCAAGCGGTAAGCTAGATCTCTTGGAAAATTCCATTTTCAAGCATAGTAGTATGCTTTAAACAAAAGTGCCGTAATTGTTGCATCCCGTAGAGTCGGTGTAAAAAACACATGTATATATGACATGCGAACAATAGTTTCGAAAGTAAAGATCAGAGGAATCGATAGTCAAAGTTAAACTTAATCAAAGCAGACCTGTTTTTTTGATATGAATTTCTGCGAGTCATGATCTCAAACAATTGCGAATTAATTGATTTGATGAGTTATACCGCTTTCGAAACATTGAAACAAACGGAAAGAATTTTGAAGTTGTCGTATTTATATATACGCAAACAATTCGAATGAATTTGAAGTCCTCTTAGAATAGTTGAAATCATAGTATTATTCCATAAATGTAAGGCGGCTATACGCGAGAGTGGCGAACTTAGGCGTATCTGGCTCTTTTTAGAGACTTCCTTTTAGCCGAATTCACAAAATTGATAAGAAAGACGAGTTGAGTCG